TTGAATATTTTTTAATCGTGATAAATTTTAGTGACATTTACATAGCTTGGAGTAAACCTATTACAAAATCCTTAGATAAATTAGAATAGATATCTTTTTTGTTTGTCAATAAAAATATTCTTTAAGAAATACCACTATTTTATTGTTTATTGCAAACCAAATTAACGAATATTTCAACACAACCGGAGTAAAAAAAATAAATAAAAAAGATTTTTTATAACCAGCATTATAACAATAAAACAATCAAAATATGAGTTTGTCATATTGATATCATTTCAGTTTATGAAACTATTTAGAAGTTATAACGTAAAAAAATAAATTAGTGCTCTACAAAAATTTCGAAGACTTAAACATTCTGAACTAAAATCAAATATGTTATCAACTTGAACTACAATGCCATAAACTAAAACATTCTTTTCCTTGCTTTGCTTCCCGCAAAATCATATAAATATGAGTTTGCCATATTGACAACATTTCAGTTTATGAAACTACTTACAAGTTATAACATCTAGAAAATTGAAACCAGTGCTTTACAAAAGTTTGAGGGCTCCTAGGCTGTAGCCTAAAGGGTAATTTAGCCAGATGAATGCGGTGTATATCAAGAATGACTGTCTACCCTTATACGTCTGTTCATGTTTGTTCATATCTATCTATCTATCTATCTATCTATCTATCTATCTATCTATCTATCTATCTTTGTCAGCTCATATCTATCTATCTATCTATCTATCTATCTATCTATCTATCTATCTATCTATCTCTGATCATGCCTATCTGCAAGAATCACATTGACAGGATAACTGATTTTTCAATAAACATTTCTGATGATGATATCTGCAAGCATGAAAATTGATGTTTTAATTTCTTTTACATTAAAATATCTATGTATATTTTTCATGCAACATCTCTCTCGTTTAAATACGATATCCATGAGAGGAATAAGCGATCATAGCTCTCCACAACCTTTTTTTAATGTAAACTGTCCTTTGTTCTAATTGTTCTTTCTCCTTTGCCACCTCAAAGTGCGTCTTATACATAATGAAATTAAAAAGCTGTAAATAATTTAAATTTATGGACTCAAATGATAAACGGGCAAAATAAGTTGGTGTTTATTTGTTTTATAAAAAAGTAGCCTAGCTCTTTCTAAAAATGAAATTAATGTTTAAATCATTAATAGCAACTAAGCAAAAATAGAAAAAAATACGAATGAATCACGTAAACAAATTTTAAAAGAAGTCATAAATTTTAAAAGAAATTATATAAATTACTATTTTAATGGGTGCATATTTGTTAAATGAAAATGAAAATAATAAAAAAAAAAACTCTTGATGAAATTCACAGACAGCAGTTTTAATTCATTTGAACAAAATAATGAATCTGGTCAAAAACTGAAAAAATAGACGAAATGAAAATTATATTGATCATGACATTTTTCCTAAAGGAGTTCATTTGAATCAAAAAACATCTGAACTTTATATGAAAAAAAAAAAACAAAAAAAACAATAAAGAAAATATTATAATTTAAATAATATAAGATATTAAAATTCCTAACATAAGAAAGGGGAAAGCAAAAGAACAAAGCATTGTTCATGAGCATGCATACTCAACAAATGTGCGCGCCATTTTATTCTTTCCCTCCCTTACATTCAAACAAAACAAAAAAACAGACGACATTCTTTTCCCGCCATTGCATTTGACGCCATAGTTTCTCTGCCTGTAGATTCCTGCATCAGATAAATGGAGAATTCCAACTTGTTGTAAATTAATTGTCTCGGAATGGAACGAGAAAGGAGACATTTTCGTTCATTTATTTATTTTTTCTTTCTTCTACGATGGCGCAGCGAGACACTGGCCCTCGGGTGACGCATTCTTTGCGACATCAGCCGCCGACGTAGCTATGACCGCCATTATCGCCCCGATGACCAAAACGGAATCAATATTCCTTCCCGCGTCTTTTCTACCCAGCCACCCTCTTCCTCTAGATTCTCCCAAACCGTCGACGCTTGCAGAGTGGAAGTGGGAAATGAAGGGGTCGAACATTTTTGGAAATAATGGATCATTTCAAAACAACCAGTTGGCTGGCCACATTCTTCGCATATTTTCAGCAATTCAGCATGGAGACGACATTGGCATCCAGTGGTAAAATCAGCTATTGTGCTGATACTTTCTTTCGCTTATACCAACAGGAGGGACAAAGGAGCTAAGGCAGAATGAATCGTAGGGGCTGTTTGGGTGTTTGATTGGGTATCGGAAAGGAGTGTTTTCTGTTAGGTTCTCTCTCTTTTTTATCTATTTCTTTGTTTCTTTAAATCTTCCCTTTTTTTTTTTATTCCGCCCCTGCCACTTCCTCTGCTCTTTTTCTTTCATTTTGGATTCCAAAACTTTTCATCTTGCAAATCTCTTTGTTCTTGTCCAACGATCGACACCTCTGTAACTTTGCTTCTTTTTTTCTTCCTCTGCACTTTTAAATTCCATCCCATTTTTCATCTTTCCTCATCTCTCTTTTTTGATATCAATTTATTTCTTCTTCTTCTTCTTCTTTTTCTTCTTCTTCTTCTTCTTTTTCTTCTTCTTTTCTTCTTCTTCTTCTTCTTCTTCTTTTTTTCTTCTTCTTCTTCTTCTTTTCTTCTTCTTCTTCTTCTTCTTCTTCTTTTTCTTCTTCTTCTTCTTCTTTTTTTCTTCTTCTTTTTCTTCTTCTTTTTCTTCTTCTTTTCTTTTCTTCTTCTTCTTTTTCTTCTTCTTCTTCTTTTTCTTCTTCTTCTTTTTTCTTCTTCTTCTTCTTTTTTCTTTTTCTTCTTCTTCTTCTTCTTCTTGCATCTTTATTTATTGAAAACTTTTCTATTTTTTCTCTCTTTTTTAAAACCTTTCTTTCTACATTTTTGTTCTTCATCTCCTTTTCTCTTTTTAATCATCATCTGCTTTAAATATTTTTCCAGGGAAGCGCGTTGTGGTTCTATGGTTAGCGAGCTGGTTGACAATTAATACTGAGTTCGGGCCGCACTAGGTGTCACATAAAAAATTAAATAATAAATAACCAAAGATTTTGAAATGTTGTAAAACCAACCAACCCATTTTTTTGCGTCTCCCCGACGTAGAGTAATAGTTAGCAAAGCTAATTTTGTTGACAATTTCTAGTGAGTTTGGTCCTCATTAGGTGCCACATACTCTGCCAGATATTAAATAACTTAGAAAGGGATGACATATCATAAAATCAACCAAATAATGCCTTCCTACTTTTCTTGTTTCCAAGGTTTGTACAAAATAGCGTTTCTTATTAGTATAAACGTTAATTTTAATGGGCACACATCTCGATGTACTTACAAACAGTCAAATTAACGCCTGTCGGCCTTGATCTCGAAAGTCTTATGAAAGAAAACGCACCACGCTCTATAAATCGAATCAGTATCACATTTTTTTTTAATTCTGAAATCTCTTTTAATATCAAACTATTTTCATCAATGAAATTTCCTCTTCTTTTCATCTTGATTTAGTGTGCTTTTACCGTTTCAGACACAATAGTATTTACAGCAAAGAATAATCGGGAATAAATATTGAGAAGACTTGCTGTCACTTATCCCTAGTGAAAGCCAATATATTATTGATGTGAACACTAATTGAATACTATCTAATAATAATAATAATAATGCAGCCTTTGATAAACGGGTGAATAGATTATAGTAATACATTTATTGAACTTTGTTGTTGTTCTTTTTTTATGTGCCGTGTCACTTCAGGACGTAGGTGATCATGGCCCTCCACAATTTTCTGTCCTTTTTAACTCTTACTGAGTTCTGCCTTTTTGTTATTTCTCCTAAACATTGTTCCACCATCCATTTATTCAATCTCACTAGGTTAGCTCATCAAGTATTCTATGAGTTGCTTTCCTCTGTTCCTCTTTCTCTCAATATGTCCTCTCTCCAAGGATTGCTCGATAATCTGCAAAAAAAAAAAGCACAAAAAAAGAAAAAAGATTTAGAATGTAGAAGTTATGACTTTTTCAAAGCCTTCAGTTTTTCAGTGGTCACTATATTTTTATGGCTTATAGTGGCTAAGTAAGTACATTCGGTTAAAATGTGTTTTACCTTGAGTGTAACTTGGCATGTTGTACATGTTGGCTGATCTTCATTTTTCAGCAAGTATGAATGGAAGAGGTATGGGTGGCCTATGTGCAACCGCCAGCGTTACCTCATGCTTTTCTAGACACATGCCTCGATTTACCCAAGACCGGTTTGATTGGGCGAAGCTTATTATTTGCGTTGTCAGCCCAGCCCTTCTGCTATTATTGTTCAATAAAACCGTTTATTTAATTTTTCAGACTTGTAGAAGGGATCCTGAAACTATTATCAAAGGATTCATTTTAGGTTGTCTTTGAGGATGAATCTGCTTGGTCATTTTCTATCACTCTTATACGGCTGGGAATCCAGCACACAGACACACATATATATATATATATATATATATATATATATATGTGTGTGTGTGTGTGTGTGTGTGTGTGTGTGTGTGTGTGTGTGTGTTTGGAATGATCTAATATAAAAATAATTTCCGATCATTACTAATTCCAGAGCAAGGAAGACGAAGCATGGAGACAAAAGAAAGAAATCAAAAAGAAATTGTCTGCGATCTTAATATAAATTCATGGAATTCTTTGCCACTGTAGATATTGTAGTTTTATTTTCATTTGCCATTGGAGAAAAAAAAAAAAAAAAAAAAAAAAAGAAAAAAATCCTACACTATTCCGTAGCGTTTGTATGAAAATAAAAAAATCGACCATGTTTTTTTTTTCCGTCATATGGGACCGACGGCTATAAAAATGGCTTCTGTGACGATATGGAATTAGAAACCTTTATGATGATAAAACAAAGATGGGACAGGAAATAAATAATTACATTTTAGAATGATAACGAGACATGAACATGCGCAGAGATAGGCAAACCCCCACCCGCGCATTATACACCAGTATATTGTTGCAGACATATATACACTAACTAAAAATAGTCTTACGGCCATATCATGTTGAAACATTGGTTCTCGTATGATATCCGAATTTAATCAACGTCGAGCCTGGCCAGTACCTAGATAGGTGACCGCTTGGGAATACCAGGTGCTGTAAGCTTGGATGTGCAGGTAGAGTAATGGATAATGGCTCGGAATTGTTAATCTCAGAGTCGGGTTCAAATTTCAGTTGGGTTGGTTATAATCACTTACGCGAAAATAACATTGGGAAATGTTATCTCCCTCAGCTATGGATTAATTAGAAAGACTTGTAATCAATAAACTATTACTATTCCTCCCTGCCCAATACTTACAATCTAAGAATATTTTCTGGCTTTAAATAACTTGCAAAGTGTTGATATGCTGTAGAAAACGAACCAGAAATCTTGGATCGGATAAAAGGATAGTTTTACAATTGAGACAGCTATTATTTTAACTACCTTCCACCCAAGTTTTCCAATGAATCAATCAATATAAAAAAAAACACACACTGATGAAAAAGAAAACTTTAATGTCTTAAAGGACAATTTTGATTTTGATTTGGGTAAAGCCGTTGATCTGAGCTCCGTATTTGGATATGTTGGTTTGATTCGGTTTGTTTTGTTTTTACGGCGTATCAACTTCAATGGGCTATTTAATGCCGACGAGAGTTTTATTACTGGTGTTATTCTTTTCCAAAAATATATTTGTTGGGGCGCACCCACCTTCTGATTGATAATGGACTTATCCCTCTATGATATAAGTCAGTGCTAGAGAGAGTAGTTGTGTAGTGTGAAGGATCAGGTTACCATTACATACCGTTGGACTTTTGCTATTGTTACTTACTAACCAGCGTTCCTTATTACTAATCACTCTGTGGTTAATTACCTCTTACAAATATACCAGTATTTATCCCTACAACTGTGTTTGTCTTTATTCGAATACACACACGCGGGGAACACTCCCAACAACTCAACAATATTGCTGGTAACATTTTTTTTTTCAAAAATGTATTGCTGGTATTAAAACCTATTTTTACACTTTCATAATGTTTTGACCCCAGTCTGGTCATTAATTATTTTCTCATAGGTGGGACCATAACAAGCGCTACCATCCCAAGTCAGGGTGGGCCTGAGAACACCAGCAGTTACGAGGTGGTTCCACACTCCTGATCAGAGGCCTTGCTGCTAGATGTAGTTTATCGTCTTACCCAGGACGCGGATGTAGTTTATCATCATACCCAGGACGCCTCATTGTGTGTGTGTGTGTGTGGGGGGGGCTCACCCCTCTGCAGAAGTGCAGTCGGCATATTCTGAAACCGTAGCCGACAAGGCATTGGGTATGCCAAAATCAAGCAGATTCCAAACTTTTAACTGTGTAGTGTATTAACAGACGACGAAATGTATGACATAGAAATCTTAAAACGCATAGGTATATTGAAAGGTGCCTTCCAGAAGTTAAGCTAATTATTAAGACATTTGAAAACATTGTTACTCCCTCCATCAAGCAAAAGAAAATGAAAAAAAAGTGCTGAACTTTTAGGAATTTGCTGGCATTAATTGTGAGTTCAATCCTTGGACTGGGTAGTGTGTACTTGGACTCAGTGAAAACAAAGCAAGCAATAACTAAGCAGTACTAAAATAAGATCGACATACACCTGACGAAGGTGGAAGAGTACAATTCTCGAAACGTTGCGAACATAACAATAACAAAAATGAGGACAATCGGCCGCATGCAAATAGTGTAAATAAAGACTTTTGAAATATTAGAAAAACTTGATTTGCATTTTCTTTTTTACTGTAAGAGTCACTCTTTACAAGGCTCGAGGCCACTCGAAGTAGAGGGTTACGTTAGGAAGCCATTTGTGTGTATAAGTGAGGGAGATAACGATTAACCAGCAATAAAGAGGTGGTTCCACGCTCTTCAAAACCTCCTGACCAGAGGCCTTGCTACTGGATGTAGTTTATCGTCTTACCCAGGACGCGGATGTAGTTTATCGTCTTACCCAGGACGCGGATGTAGTTTATCGTCATACCCAGAACGCATGCGGATAGAGAACGAATTCAGTGAATACACAAAGATAGAATTAAGAATAAGATAAGGCTGTCTTTCATCAGCGGTTTTATTTAACCTATACAGTAGAAAGGGTGAGAAAGAGAAATAAGATTCTGACGGGGACTTATTATCGGCGGATATAATCTTAAGAATATAAGATACGCGGTTGATAATGTGTTGAGAACAGACTAAGAAAAGAAACTGTAAGAACTCTTAAACAAGATAATAAAGGAAAGCAAGAAGAAAGGACTAACTATTAACGGTAAGAAGAGAGAATGTTGAGAAAATGACAGGTGTGAACTAGATAATGGATACCTCAGAAACAAGTGGGTACATAAATGTAACTAGCTTTGTAATAAACATTATCTGCTCGTCTTGAAAGACGACTGGATGGAACATATACAAATCTCCTTAGAAAAATCTAGAGCTTCAGTTGGAGATCCCATGCAATGCTTAACACAATTTAAGAACTATGACCAATCTCTCTTAAACTCAAATAAAAATGATTACAGTCTGCCTGTCACCAAGAGGACAGAGAAATCATCTCATCCTTACTCTTATGGTATCCTTCTGGAAGTGTCTTCCCACAAAAATTGACTTTCCTCAGACACCATAGCTCGAGACTCGGGGTTGGACATTGGGGATCTGGAGACAGCAATACAGGACAAGTGTGGAAAGGGATTGTCAATGGATTTCCAACCAACCATAGAGAAATCAAAGAATGGTGATTATGATATGATGAGGATGAAGGAACTAGAAAATTTCACTGGAAACAAAGAAATGGGTACTTAACTTAATCATGAGCAAATTCATTACTGACGTCAGTGTAGCTGAAGGAATGAAAGAAAACTTGACAAGATTCAGAACTTGAACCTTCCATTCTCCTTAAAAGCCCAAAGCTTTCGAACACTGATTGAAGTCCTAATGCTTGGATTCGAAACTGGATGGAACATATACAAATCTACTTAGAAAAAGGAACATAGAAAATTTCATTGGAAACACTGTAAATTATATATATATATATATATATATATATATATATATATATATATATATATATATATATATCGAGACTCAAGGTTGTACATTGGAGATCTGGGGACAGCAATAGAAGAACCGAACCGTGTGGGAAGAGATTGTCAATGGTAATCCGACCAACAATAAATTTCTTGATGTATGTAAATTTTAGAGTACTCTCCTTGCAACACAGACAACCAACTCAAACTATTTTGATAAGTAACTGCTTTATATGCATATTTACGCGTACTTGATTTAATCATGAACAACTTCATTACTGACGTCAGTGTAACTAAAGGAATAAGATTCGACGCTTGAACCTTCCATCCTCCTTAAAAGACCAAAGTTTTCGAACATTGATTGAATCAGTCCTAATGCTTGGATCCGAAACTGGATGGAACATATACAAATCTACTTAGAAAAATCCAGAACATCGGTTGGAGATCCCATGCAACGCTTAATACAATTTACGGAGAAATGAGACCAATTTCTCTTAAGCTCAAACGAAAACGATTACAATTTGCCGGCCATTCCACCGAGCGGACAGGGAAATCGTCTTATCTTTACTCCTATGGTATCCTTCTGAAAGTATCTTCTCACAAAAATTGACTTTCGCAGAGACCATAGCTCGTGACTCATGGTTGGACATTGAGGATCTTGGGACATCAATGGAGAATCGAAAAGTGTGGAAAAGGATTGTCAATGGAGTTCAGACCAACCTTTAGGGAGGTCGAAGGATGATGATGATGATGATGATGAACAGACGACATAAAATGTGACACAGTAATCTTAAGTCGCATGAGAATAGTGAAAGATGCATTTCACAAATTAATCAAACTAATAAGACAAACAAAAATATGTAATTCCTACGCTCTTAGCAAAACGGTGAGTGTTAGTCAGTCTCTTCGCAAAGAAGAGACTTGTGAAGACAAAAATAACGCTCTACTGAAGGATTTGAAAAATACCATGCTGTCATATATGGTCTGGTGCTCTCGCTGTACATCTCGAGGTCCTTGACAAAATCCAGAAACGAATATGCAAGATGATAGGTCCTGATCTGGTATCTAGTCTACAATTGCTATCTTACAGACATGGTGTGGCCTCCTTCTATCTCTTCTACAAATATTTTCACGGCAATTGTTCCGACGAGCTACTTTCGCTGGTTCCCGGATGACATAACTTTAAACGTGCTACCAGGCTGGCATCTCGGTCACACCCTTTTACTGTCAAAACGGTTAAATATAACTGTCTCTTCTTCTCAAATAGTTTCTTCTCCCGCACTTCCCGTCTGTGGAACTCCCTTCCGCTTACTTGCTTCCCCGATGACTATAATCTTCAAATATTCAAGTGAATGTCAATGGACATCTGACTCTTTGAACATGTTCCCCGTCTTTCTTCGTAACTTTTCCTCAAACACGCCTCTTTATTCTTGTTCTCAATCCTCTGTAATCCCTTGCGTGTTAGTGGCACTTCCGGCTTGTTTAGGGTGAATTGACTTAAAAAAAAGCAACAACATGTGAGCAATGAGGAAGTCGTTCGGAAAACAGAAACGACTAAGAAACTACTGTTAGCAACCATGCGGAGACAGATGAAATCCGAAGATGCATAGGAATAGCGAAAAAAGCCTTCCAGAAATTAAGCAACATATTAAGAGATAAGAAAACAACTCGAGAAAAAATGGTAACTGCTCTTGAAATGGACGCCAAGTCCCAATACTTTTTGAGTAACCTCGTATATATATATATATATATATATATATATATATATATATACATATAGTCATCTACAGACAGACTGTTTCGCTTTATCACAGCTCATCAGCGTGGATAGATTGCTTTAAGCCGGGATCGAAACTCGACCAATTTGACATCAGTCGGGGAGTCTCACTCTTAGGCCATCAGCGCCGTGATAGGGAAAGAGAATTTTTGACGCATTATATACAGGATATAAGCATTACCGGGTACCAGAGTGCTCAATTCATAGCAAAGAGCTTTTCGCGTTAATTAGCAGCAGCCGCCAAGTTCCCTTACTTCCAAAGTGCTCAACCTACGAGAGGGGGGCGTATATAGTACAGTTTTTAATAATATATTTATATATATATATATATATATATATATATATATATATATATATATATATATATATATATACATTTTAGGAAAGGAAAGATATTATAATACTGAATTTATTCAGACATCACGAGATTAATAGAAGTTATAGTCGGGATCTACAATCCCAAGAGATGCTCAAAATTGTGACCTTTAGCTTCCAGAGTTTTATTAGTTCGGTGACCTAATGCTTAGTCAACGTTGGCCAAAATGTCCAATGGGATTGCTGCGCATGCATTTTCAATTTTTTGTCTAAGGGCCGCTAATGTGAAGTTATCTGTCGAGAAAATATCGTGCTACAGTAAACAGTGTCACGCAATTTGATAAAACTACGAAAGACGAATTTTTCCTTTCCTGAAATGTGTATATATTTTTTTGGCTTATGCGGTATATCTTACAATTTGAATCTATCTTACATATCTATAAGCCTGCCATTCGTCCACGCTTAGAATATTGCTGCCACATATTGTCTGGTGCTCCCGCCATATATCTAAAGATCTTTGATAAAATATAAAGAAGAATCAGCAATATTATTGCTCGGCTGGCGGCTCAGCTTTAGCCAAATTCCTACTGATGTAAAATTGCCTCCTTGTGCCTTTTCTATAAATACTTCCATGGCAACTGTTCGGGTGAGCCTTCGCTATGGTACCTAGCCTTTATTAATTTAAGCGCAGTACTAGGCCATTATACAGTAGATTTGGCTAGATGTAACCTCGAGTTCTATGCTAACATTTTTTTTCTCGGACTTCTCAGTTGTGGAACTCTTTTCCGGCTCCATGCTTACCAGCCAACTTTAATCTTGAAAAAATTTAAATGCAATGTCAATCGATATCTACTGTTCTCCTGATTACACTTCTTTTGTTCTCGCTCCTGTTTTCTAATCTCTCTCTCTCTATATATATATATGCATATATATATATATATAGTCATATATCTAGAAACAGACTGTTTCGCTGTATCACAGCTCATAAAACAGCTCATCAGTATGGCTAGATATCCGATTGCCTCAACTCGGGATCGAAACCCGACTGATTTAGCGTCGGAGATTTTACCACTGAGCTATTTTACCACTGAGGTTGAGAGGAAGGCTAATTTTTACGTACTCATTCTTCGAATAGCAATAGTAGCCATTGTTTACCAACTTGCGCTTTCTCCCGCGAGTGCTCGACCGGAATTAAATTTTCCGGGGGCGTATATATTGTCATCCGCAGAGTGTTTCGCTGTATCACAGCTTATCAGTGTGACTAGACATCCGATTGCCTGAAGTCGGGATCGAAACCCAACTGATTTGGCAGCAGTCGGAGATTTTAATCTTGGGCTATATGTATATATAAGAAGGGATATTCAAATATTCGTAAATTTTGACCATGAAAAAAAAATTAATTAGCTTTCTTCTTTTTCTATTTCAGATCATTCTTTGGTGTATGTCAAAAATTTTATCACACGTAATACAATTCACAAATGGTACAGCATTCAATTTGCAATTTGTTATTGAGAACTTTTAGGCACCACGAGTGTGTATGTATGCGTGTGTATGAATTCGCGTATGTGTGTGTGTGTGTGTGTGTTTATGCATGTGTGTTTATGCATGAGTAATGTTATTGTACGGGGAATATGCCGTTAAAGATGCATGTGGAAAAAAAAACAAAACAAAAAAAAACAAAAAACGAAACGAAAGTGAATGTTGAAATGTCAGAATCAATTTTTAACGATCGACTGAACATGGAATTCCGTTTGTCTCAGCAACGAAAGTGGGGATATTTAAACGTCGAAGGGCCCCCTGAATAATATCTTTCGGCAAAACAACGGGTTTGAACATTTTATCTGGAATATAATTTTACTTTTAGATTAATAAAAAATTGAAACAGTTATCGCTATTGCAACCATCACGTAAGGACATTAAAATACAAAGAAAAGGATTTTCAGGCACATTTTATTGTTAAAAATAGTCCTTATAAAAATCCTAAAATTAGGAATAGACGTAATTGTAAGATTATTTTTAATATCGACATGACTTATTACCGTTTGATTTGGTTTGGTTTCTTTTGTTTTACGGCATATCAACCCCTCAATGGGTTATTTAATGCTGACATGATTTTTATAGCTGGTAATATTTTTTTTTCAAAAATGTATTGCTGGTAATATTTTTTCTTCAAAAATGTATTGCTGGTAATATTTTTTTCAAAATATATTGCTGGTAATAATTTTTCTTCAGAAATGTATTGCTGGCAATACTTTTTCTTCAAAAATGTATTACTGGTAATTTTTTTCAACAATGTATTCCTGGTAATATATTTTTTTCAAAAATATATTGCTGGTAATATTTTTTCTTCAAAAATGTATTGCTAGCAATATTTTTTCGTCAAAAATGTATTGCTGGTAATTTTTTTTCACAATGTATTACTGGTAATATATTTTTTTCAAAAGTATATTGCTGGTAATTTTTTCTTCAAAAATGTATTGCTGTTAATATTTTTTAAAAAAATATAAGGCTGGTAATATTTTTTTAAAAAAAATATAAGGCTGTTAAGATTTAAAAAAAAATGTATTGCTGGTAATATTTTTTCTTCAAAAATCTATTGATGGCAAAAAAAATTCCAAAAAAGTATTGCTGGTATTAAAACATATTTTTATAGTTTCTTAGTGTTTTTTTCCACTTTTTGAGGTTTAGCTATATGCCCATAGCTTGGATCCTGACAAGTGCTACCACCCCGTCAGTATGGCCTTGGGAACACCAGCAATTAAGAGGTGGTCCCACGCTCAAAACCTCCTGATCAGAGACCTTGCTGTCGGATGTAGTTTATCGTCCTATCAAGAACGGGACTTAGTACAGTACAGGAGCGATTTGGAGGAAACAAATAGGAAGAATGTAGCGTGAATTAAATATATTCGTATAAAAATGATATTTGTTTGGGCTTACGGTCGCACTCCGTATAAACACCGGTTCACGTACGATCACCGAAGTTAAACAACGTCGAGCTTGGTCTGTATCTAGATGGGTGACAACTTGGGAATACCAGCTGCTATAAGATTGGATGTTCGGGTGGTGTAATGGATAATGGCTCAGAATTGTTAATCGGAGAGTCGAGTTTGAGTTCTTGTTGGCATCGTTATATTCACTTACGCACAAATACCATTGGGAAAGGTATGAATCCAGCTCTTCTTCCCCCAGCTAAGGGTTAATTAGTTAGACTCGGTTCACTGGACCATTATTATCTAAAAAAATCCTTACAATCTAAAAATATTTTCTGGCTTTAAGTTACTTGCAAATGGTTGAGAAGCTGTAAAAACGAACCAATCAAGATTTGTTTGTCAGACAAATTTAAATCAAGGAAGAAAATTCTGAATGTCGGACATGCTGCAGAAAACGCCATTCGAAATTATGACAAACTCAACGGAAGTCCGTTGTAGTTTCATAACTGGATGCTGCATGTCTCATTCCATATGTGCCGCCGGGGAAGGTCATGAAATCAAGTGTGTGGGTCCCTTTCTGGCAAGTTGAGGTCCACCTTAAACAAATTCACGCCATCGGCATTTTTCTTCCACCCTGATTTTCTTTCACCTCCAAAAGGCAATGTCAAGCGTAGCGATAGAGAATGAGTGACGGGTGCAGGTTTAACATTGGAAGCTTCTAGTCCTGCACGTTGGCGGTGGGTTTAGTCATCAACTCCATCATCATAAAGGAAGCGATCGGCAAAGATGAAATTAAATTCTTGGATACGGGATGAAGCCGACGACGAGAATAGCGAACGGACTGACGTCACCAAGATGACGTAGCATATTAGCATAGAAAGTATATCGGAAATTGGGCTAAAAGGTAGTATTTTTCCCAAATATAATAATAATAATAATAATAATAATAAACGTTTCGGGGGTGAAAAAGAAACAAAATTCCAATCCCAATTGTTTTAATGCAATATTTTGTCGGGTTTGAAACAATATTTCTAAAGACTTCAACGGAGATCGCCAATCGGACCCTCAACTATCACCAATCACGGTGAACGGATGTTCTGTCAGGGATTCCCCGTGCCTTGGGCCTGAAACTGAACGTAGGTCTCAAGTGTAACTTGTACATATTATCCATTGATAAAGCTACTGTAAAAGATAGTCGGTTCCCGTACAGCCATGCTACTCAGTATTATAGCCAACCACCCCCGCTCGTATTCCATTGGTGAGCTGTAGGTTCCAGTCGAACAGATGTATTAGATATAGGAATAAAGTGTCGCTGCCGACACTTGAGTTTGAACATAGATCGCCAGTGAGCAAACACAAGCGATCCCATTAATGAATTAAGTTGATCACGAGGCCATGGGAGAAATGCATAAATAGGAAGTCACGTGACGTCAAAATGATCGCTATCTCTCCTCTATCCTCTATTACTATATGGACCGCTATTCTCTACTCTCTTTACTATACTATGTCTCTGTTTGAATCACTATACGGATTCGGTGGTTACAATTCGGGCGTGTATTATCGAGCAAGTACTATTAGTGCGAGTGTCATTCGAAGGCGTCTGACACCAGTATTGTTCAACGGCGTGACTATAGTTGTCTCTATTACAAAGAGCATTACGAAAGTGACAACGAGTATTCGTTGACATTACAAAAAGATGCTTTGTGGAATCAACTTCCAAGAGGATGCTGTATCGACCACTAGAATCTTAGCCTGTTCAAGTCTAGAGTTAACCGTTATATTCCCAGCATATTCGCATAAACTGTGCCTCTGTAATCCTCTACCTGGAGTGGCTCCTGGGTCTTGTACAGAGCGAACATCACTGTAAAAAAAAGTTAACCTATTTGTCAAGATTTAGACTACATATGAAGTGTTGTTTACTTTTCTATCGGTTCTTAATATATTAACTTGCGGTGCACCCCGAAACCTCATCAGTGATTTTTTTTGCAGGCAACCCAACCTGTTTAGCCCTTCATCTCCACTGAAAGAGGCTGGAAAGCTGACCCGGAAGTGATTACTGAAGACTACAGCATTTGTCAGAGGATGGGAATATACAACAAATTATTTAATCAGAGTTTAAAACTAATCTCTTCTCAATCAAATTTTTTTCGCAAATAAATATAGACTTTCCAAAACATGTTTCTAATGGTCTTCAGATTTTATTCTTTTTAGGGATCGTTTTGTGTTGCTGTATCTAGCCATGAACGGATGGCAAAAGGCATGAATCACACACTTTATCCTTCGCACTCGTCAAGGCATGCTTTTTCACCACGCACGATAAATATTAGCACTCTCAAAGATGCTCCTCGCTTTGCGCGTGTATTGGGTCTAAGTACCCTATTGTATCTCAGTATTTAATATTCCACCCACGAGGAATATATGTGGCACAAGGCCGAGTTTAAAGTGGGTTTCTCCGAGCCCGTAGGCTCGGTCAAAAATATACCCTTTGCACCCGCCTAGACGGGTTCAGGGCCTGTCTAGCTCCCCGGACGAAACCTTGCCCTTCGGCAAAGCTTCGTCCGGGTTCCTCTCTGCCAACGATTGTATCCCGTGTTTGCGAGATAACAGAGGGAAATAAATAAAGAAGACAAACTCGTAGGTAAGTAATGAAATAGTAAGTTTACTAAGTAAGGTACACTTAGCAATTGACCTAATGCTAACTCGGTATTTACGCGAGCTCCTCACAGAGCGGGATTTGACACAAGGCCGGTTTAACGTAGGCCCGGTCAAAATTCCCCGTAATAACAGGAGTCGAGTTTGTGGAGCTCCCCAGACGAGACTCTGCCCTTCAGCATAGCCTCGTCTGGGTTCCTCTCTGCCCTAAGGCAGAGAGTTTGACAAACACGAAGATCAAACCGCACGGCTAAAACCTAATGCTAACTCGTTATTTACCACAAAGAGGGATGTGGCACAAGGCCGGTTTTTTTCGAGCTCGTGGACCCGGGAAAAGATTCCCGGTAGACCCCGTAATAACAGAGGTTAGATTCGTCTAGTTCCTCAGACGAGACTCTGCCCTTCGGCATAGCCTCGTATGGGCTCCTCTCTGCCCGAAGGCACAGAGTTCGAGAAACACTAAGAGCTTAGAACGCGGCTAAGACCTAATGTCAACTCTCCTCATTTCCGCTTATCTCCGCTTATTTACATAAACGAACGATTCTATACATTTATGTCCAATATTCATTTATGTCCAACACTCAGGCAACAAGTGGAACTCATATATACGATTGTCACTAAAGACGTTGTAAAAAAATGACTGGTTCATTACGTCGGCCCAGAAAGTATCTGGCTCTTCCTGCTATGCTCTACCTTTACATTAGACAGAAGCGTACTGCAGCTCTATCTAGGCTGGAGCTGCTCAACCATCTCTTTCTAGCCTCGTTCAAAAGCGTTTACACTGCCTTGTAGGCGATGGAGCATTTCTACCCTACAACCACTTCCCTCACTGACAAAACAAAAGCCCCTAGTTCCATCGAAAATATTCTGACCAACTATATATCTTCTTCCACCAGTTCAGACTATTACAGTTAAGACCTGCCATTTTATGGACACGGGGGGCGGGGGAATCATCCACATTTGACTTCTATGTAAACGGGTTATTTCAGCACTCATCTCCTCCGTGTTCCACTGGTAAAAATGAAGGTCCATTTGGACAGCTTCGTCCCAACGACCGCTGCTCTGTAGAATAGAATCTATCTATCCTACATGTGTGTTCTTCGAGCAGAAAATCCTGGTCAAAAACAAGTTTTAGATAATTCTTTGCATAGATTCACGTTTTTTTTGGTTAATAAAAGCAAGGATGAATACAAAGAAAAGGTGTTTAAAATGACTTCGGTGTTAATAAATGCATTTTTATTTTATTTTCTGTAGCAGAACAATGGTTAGCAAGCTAGTCTTATGACTGACAAAAATTCTTACGTCTATAACATGGATGAACGTAAGTCCCAATAAGCATTTAAGGCAAAGGGGCCTCCTTGAGAGACCACTCGTTCATCATGATAGACGAAAATTCAGTGTCCGTTCGGTGATAATGGAACGTTACTGGTCTGGTTTTTGAGGTAGTGAACGTGACCAGCTAGTCACCCTCCCCACTGAGATGTTAGAGTTAGGTCAGAGGAGAGATCAGTTACCAGTCCCTTGTTATTTAGATTTCTGGAAGTGCACTCATATACTGTTGTTTCATCTGTATAGATAGCTAAAAAAAAAAAAAAAAAAGACCGAAGTATACTATTAGTGATATCATTAATATAAAGCAAAATATGATTGGACCAAGAAGCGAGCCGTGAGGGATGTCTACAATCCATGATCTCATGGGCCACGGAAGACAAGCCTTTAGCAACTAGCTGTTAGGAAAGACTTGCTTAGACTCTTCCAGTGATTCTATAACTAGAGAGCTTTTGTAACAACCTACTCTGCCATACGTATTATGCTTCGATATATCTAATGAAATCGTCTTCTTGGTGTATTTATTCTCTAATGATAGGGTATCAGCAGTGGACCGAGCCAATCGAAATTCGTATTGTTTGTCGCTCAAAAGGTTATTATTGTTAATTATAGCAAAGAATTTGCTGATGACATAGGGGGCTAATAGAGATGAACACTCTAATTCTTGAAAATTCTTTTCTCGGTCTATGAAAACCGAATGTTTCCTTATAAGGAAACATTTACTATTGCCATTACCATTAAAGATGAGGGAAACAGATACTACATTTAGTATGTACTTATCCAAACACGGTCACTGGATATGGCACAATGCCAATTTAAAGTGGGGCGCCAAAGCGCGCACATGGGCCAGAGCCAAAAATTGCACAGTCCTCGCAACCAACGGTGCACTGGTGCCGATATTAAACCGACCTTCCCTGGCTTCCCTGTTACACTTACCAACAATGAGGTATACTCTGTTGCAGGCTTGAAATCCCCAGGACCAGGCATCGGTCATTTATTTCTTGGGTTTTGTCCGAAGACAGAAACACATCTGAGAGATAATATGTAGTTTGTTTACCCAGAGGCAGATCGTAGCTCGATAGCTAATGAGTGAAGAAAGGCATAACAGTAGCACTGACTGTTCGCTTAATG